ATTCCTTAGGTTTTATAAATTTCGTTCTTTTTATAAAATCAACTTGATTTTTTAAACTTTTTTAGATTCGGACTATTGTGCATGAGACTAATAACTCTTTTTCTAATGCAACAGTATTTTTTTCTTCCTTCCTTTTAGTCGCATATGAAGGAGATTGTTTCGATTTTCTTGTACTCTAGATCAACTTCAAGCATATTGATGTGTTTTAATGTTGATTCCTCGATTGATGATTCATGCAATTGTGAGTTCAATTTTTCTTTTTCTTTCTTGCGACGAGAAAACTTCCCTTGTCCTATGTGAATAGTCAACTTCTATTAATCACTGGTAAGTATCTTTTCTTTATAAAAAACTACATTAGTTTTATGTTTATTTAGGTTCTAAGTGCACACGATCAGTTAGCTATCTTTGCTTTGGAAGGATACTTGCCTCGCTTTGATTGTTTTTCAAGTAGATGTACTTTTAATAGCTTTGATTAGTTCTTTTTTCTAGGTTTAATCCACATCTATCGGTTCACTCTGATATTCATTTTATGGTCGGAAATTCCTCTATCGATGAGTAGGATTTTTTAGCTCTGGTTGAAAAATATTACTATAATCGTGTATAGATGTGTATTGTCGTTCAATGGCCGGTAAGTTCAGATTGTATTATCCATTCTGTAGTATTTTGTTACTCTTTTTAGGCTCCAGTGGTAGAAGATATGCAGCGGTAAGTCGGCATTAACTAAAACCGTGACTACCTCTTTTTGTTTTATTGTAGGTCGTTTGTTTTGAGTCCATTCAATTCTTTTTCTCACTATATTAATATCAAGTATGTTGGTCCTCTTTGGTATCAGTTGCCCAACGAGAGATTTATTTATTGGTCAGTTGAAGTCACTCTCCTCATTATCACAATTCTCGTCTGATTGTTATATAGGTGCGCATCGTATATTAGCTATTGGTGATTTTACATGTTTTTATAAACGTAATAGTTTCATTTCTCCAAGTTTGAAGTTTGGAAATCTATCTAGTAGTAAGTTCAATTTCACTAAAACGATATTTGTTTAATTTTGTTTCAGATGCATATGTTAGCACGATATATTGGTAATTCAATTTCTCGTCCTATATAATGCATGTAGTGTCCTTTCATGTTCAAGTGCGAATCAAATACTGGTTTACTACCTGGTGAGTTCGAATAGTTTTTCTTCGATCACAATATCTAGTTCCTTTTTTCAATACTTATTCTCATAAGATTTATCATTGAGTTCAGATTATGTCATGCACTAGATAGAGTTTGTTTGCTTTTATTAGTATGTTAGTCGAGGGTTTGCACTTGCGGGTAACATTCAAGAACTACGATTGTTTGTCTTAATGTTTGTGTTTAAGGAAAAGAATTTTTCTTCGAGCTGGATATAAGCTTTCGTTTTTTCAACAACAACTTCGTCTTTCCTCCGCCTCCTCAAAAGTCCCATTCGGATCACTTTTTGCCTGTACAGTTAAGATAAAATTGATTCATTAATGTGTGAATTATGGAGCAGCATTACCTTGTGGAGATAGTATACAAATCATCAGTGTTTCCATTGGTTTGAAAATTGAGTAGGTCAGCTTTTTGTAGTTTTGTATTCTCATGTGATCTGACGTTTAAGTAGTTTTCATGCCTAGTGATTATTTTCCTGCTTTGATTCTTGTTTTAGATTCAAGTGGTCCCTTACAGAGTAATATAAGGTTGCTCCGTTCGAGGTTGTCTTAAATTATTTTTCTTCTTTTCTGTTGAGCGCTAAATAACTGTAATGATACATGACATACTTTTGCTTCTTCTGTCAGACTCTTGCTGTCGATCTCATTTACATTAAGTAACTCCGTTGTGTTTCATAGTTTCTGTTGGTTATCCTTGCTTTCAGTGTTTTATCCAGGATTCCTGGATATGTTATATCTCAGCATGGAATCAAGATAAAACCTGTAGAAGATCATATTGGAGCTAAATGATGAGGCTTTATGAAAAAATTTTTGTGATTAAAGTTTGCGAAAAAAAAGCCGTATTTTTTTTGTTTCCTCTGAAAATTTTTTTTGACTTTTTTAGTATCCCTACTTTTAAAATTCTATTGCAAGCTACATTGAATTTCGTCGACAGATTTCAAATTTCATCAAAAGAAAAGCATTTGTTCAGAAGTTATAACGTTTGAAAATTTTGCTAAAATTTCTATAGCATTTGAAAAAATTTCAAAACGTTATAACTTCCGAACAAACGCTTTTTTTTGGATGAAATTTGACAGCTGCCGACGAAATTCGATGTAACTTACTATGGAATTGTAAAAGTAAGAATACCAAAAAAGGTTAAAAAAATTTTTGGGAAGCAAAAAAATTATTGTTTTTTTTCACAAACTCTAATCAGAAAAAGTTTTTCGTAAAACCTCATCATTTAGCTCCAATATGATCCTCTATAAGTCCTATCTTGGTCCTATGCTCCGAAGCTGAGATATAACATATTCAGAAATCCTGGATAAAACACTGCTTGCTTTTGATTTTGAACAGTTAGTTGATGATTAGAACAGTTCAGCATCCGTCTTCAAAAGAGTATTTATACATCTTATCTTCAGAGTAGTTACGTAAGGATGATAACGATTAGTTCTTTATTACTCGGTATTTTTCAATGTTGCTCTCTGCTAGTTTCGTGATCTAGTTTATATTTCGAGGAGCCAACCAGTGAGAAGGTTGGTCTATTAGGAAGATGCTGAGCTAGTTTGTAGCACGATTGGGTTCACAGCAACTTTTGGTACTTTTTTTCGTCGTTCATATGTCTTAGAATTGCTTGTTGCAGATTCTGCTTCGACAACGAATGTGGATAGGAAATAAATTTCCTCAGGGCTGTTATTACGAAATTTTCGCTGTTACTTTTAGTGTACTGTTTTAAATTACAGGTGTGTTCGGCTGTGTTTTCAGACTTGACTATTTAAGTTCCCTTGAGTTTTAAGTACTGTATAGTGTGTCGATATTATAATCGCACACATTATCATCATTTGCAGAATTCACTAGGAAACAAAACTGAAAACCTTTTTTCAAAAAAAAAAAAACTTATTTGAAAGTTCTAGGTTAGGGTCGCACGGTAGTGGAAATTGTTTTCGATATTCATATTTTTGCGCGTAATGAAACCCTAATAGAATTCTATGAGTGTGCTTCAGAAGTGTTCATGAGCGGTAAGAAAGAAATGCGTAGCAAAGAGTAACCCTATAAATAGGCAAAGTTTTCGATAAAATAAAGATGATAACATGAATGTCTAAATTTTCTGACCATGATTGAATGATAATCGTCGTTCTTGATTATGGGTCAATAACGTTTTCTAAAAATAGATGCGTAAATGCTCAAAAAATTTAACACGTTTTTCAAAGTGGATCACGTTTCTCGATCGATTTCGGTTAACGCTGCGACAAAATAATTGCGTAAAACGGTCACAAGTTCCGAGCGTTTATGGATGACAATCGCGGTTCCCGATTGTGAGCTATTAACTTCTAGGATTATTGGATGAATAAACGGCATCGACTTTTTTGAGGTTGAACACCAGTGAATTGAGTGAATCAGAGAAAGTGATCGTTTTAACATCGAGTATTATGAGCTGTTACTGAATCACAATCGGGAACCGCGATTAGCAGCGACACACAGTCGAAAATCGGTAAGCGTTTAGACGCGTTTTTTCAAAAGTTTGTCTGCTTGGGTAGTGTTGCTCTTCAATATTTTCTTTTGATAAAATATACCAAAAAATTGACATCGTTTTATCTATGGTATTTTTCCCCTAGAATTTTTCGTTTGCCACATGAATTCATTGATTCTTCTTAAAAATCTAAGTTTCATTATCGCATACATATCTGATATTAATAAACTAATTTAGATTCTTCTTTCATTATTCATCGAGATTATCATAAATCACAACTTTGTAACTAATTATATATTTCTCCATAGGTATTAGAATAAACTAGACTTGAGAATTCATAATGAAAACTTGAGAAGATTTCGATAGAATATTTATCAGATGTAAGACAAACGCATCATCCTTGAGTGATCGACAAATTTCTAATTACCTACGAAGAGTATAGAAAAAAACTTTAAAAACGATCGATATGTCAGAAGAAAGACTGTAGTCAGGTTTTTGTAATATCTAAACGCATTCTAATGAGTAGGTCTCATTTTGTTTTCGAAAAAGCAGAAGTTAAATTTTCAACAAGTTAAAATATTTATTTAAAGAAATGAAAGTTCATGCATCTTTAAAACATAAGATATGAGTAGAAGTCTTTTGAACAAATATCAAAACAAAAAGAAAAGTTTGTAGAAAAGACTTCTACTCATGTCTTATGTTACATAGATGCCGAACTTTCATTTCTTTAAATAAATATTTTAACTTGTTAAAGATTTAACTTATGCTTTTTCGAAAACAAGATGAGACCTACTCATTGGAATGTATTGAGATATTGAGAAAAAGAACGAACGTGTATTGCCCATCGTCAAATTAATAAAATTAGATGAATGGTCAAGTTACAAGTAAGACGAAGATGATTCTTGAATATTAAACCTTTTTTCAAGTAAAGAATCGTTTACAACAGATAAAATAATAAAAAATTATGGTTTTAACGTCAACGAATCACTATTTATGACATTTACAATTCGAAGTTTAAACGACAAGGACATAATATTACTTTGTGACATACAAAATCGTTTTTTTGTGATAAACGCGCAATTTAGTCAATATACCATCGTTTAAATGATGTGATATTAAACATCGTTTTAACGGCAGAACAGCGTTTCCTCAACTAACTGGGTAGACACAGTCTTTATAATCTGGTCAATATTCAACTTATTAGTGGCGGCGCCAGGGGTGGGCCAGGGTGGGCTCAGCCCACCCTGATTTACATCGAGCCCACCCTGAAAGATTTTGAAAGCTATGTAAAAAGAACACTTTGTGTGGGTTAGGGTGGGCTCAACCCATGATGAGCCCACCCTGAACTTAAATCCTGGCGCCGCTACTACAACTTATATTTATTCGTTTGCTATATTGGAAAAAAAACAAGCAAACATAAGATGAATAAGTTTTTTCAGAAGAGTAAAAAAAGCGATATTGAATAAAATATTTTCTGATGTTGGAAAAGTAAAGTTAGTGCCAAAAGTACTAGCAATATTTCCGAGTGCGGCATATATAAAGAATTGTTGTAATTTGGTAGCTTCATCCAATGTTGAAGCATGTGGTACTTCTTGAATTGTTTGATGTGTTGATGAAAAGAGACCATCCCATGAACTTTTCGTTGTAGTTATAATCAATAAATCTGGTACCAAAGTCCAGTTTGCATTAATATCGACAATAAAAAATGATACCGTATCTTTGACACTATCACCATTTTTGAACAATGTCAACGAACGATATACACCATTATTTTCCGGTGAAAAAAGATAATTTACTTGATCCCAAGTAAAATCATCCGAATAAGTTAAACCGAGTACAAAACTTCCTTTCGATGGTAAATTATAATCCAAAATCATTGTATTGACAAATTCCTAGGCTCGTTCACTTGGTATATCGATTGCTTTCAAAACTGTTGATCGTTGTTGGAAACATTAAAAACCAAATCTTGTCAATCTCGATATAGTACTCCAGCTAGTCGTTTGAAAAAGACTCATCACATCTTTAACAGCAGCAGTAGCTACTGGAACTCCTGCAGCCAATGCTTGAATTTTGCCAAGTATTCAAGATTGAAATAAGATGGTCTTGTTATTCTGTCCTCCTAGTTGAATCATGTCCGGATGAAAGGAAGACAGCATACCAAATCGTTGTGGTTGCACTACACTAGCACTGATAAAGCGTAACATATTCAAAGCAATTCGTACAGTCTTTTGTTGCCAAGGTACAATGTGTTTAAGTAAAGTTTCATTTTCAAATTCACCACTAGGTGTCAATGTTGATGTGCGAAGGATATTTAACTGTTTTGTACTTGGAACATCATCCGACATGGAACCATTGTATAACATTGTTCGAATTAAAGTTTTCGAATTAATATTCATGACAAGAAAAATTAAAGAATATGTTGAATCAGTGACCTTTTGTCCAACTATCCAAATATATTTCATTGTCAATTCACGGTTTTTCGTAATCAGTTTGAGATGTAAATAAATTTTCATAAGAAAATTGGGGTGAATCCAATTATCGAGAACATTCTGAATGAGTATAAATATTGTCAAACCCATGTTCTTCGGCTAATAATCCTAATACATTAATTATAGCTTTTTGTTCATTTTTAATGTGTGACTGCCTAATTTTAACGATGTCAACTTACAAAATGCAAAATACAAAATTAAGAACAGCTAAAATTTTGACATAATTTATAATACGTGATATTTCGGTATCTATTTCACAGATACCATCATCAGACGAAAAGAAAAAACCACCAACAACAAAATCATACATCTATATTCATAGTGTCCATTTATTTTCACCTTTATAATGATACGAATACAGCAATGAAAATGGATGTTCTCAATTAGTTAATTTTATTGTTTATATATATGGGTGAATTGCGCTCGTATTGTGCCGTTGGGTCGCCAACTGTAAAACGCTCATATCTCAGCTTCTACTCAACGGATTTTGATAATTATTTTTAAACTTCTTACTGTCTAGGTCATCTACCAAACATACTATTAAGTCTTTAGGCTGCTATCGCTGTAGGGTTTTCTAGGGAAAAAGGAAAAAAATCACTGAGCTTTACTCACCCTATCGACAAAAATTATTTTTGTTTGTCATAGCTTTCATTGGACAAAATTAATTTTGTAGAGCTTTTTGTAGCCAAGACTTTGCTCTTTCGGACTATATAAGTTAAAAACACCTTTGATTTCAATATATCCATCAAATATTGCAAAAACTACCTAAACGCCCTAAAGGGCCATTTTATGTCCCGACAGATTGAATTGAAGCTACTAAAGCCGATTTCTAAGTAAACTCTGATTTTCTTTTTACATTCAATAGATTAAAGAGTCAGAAATATTTTGGTAAAAAAGTATTTTGTTCAGGAACCATTAGATCAAATAAAAAAGTAAAAATAAGAGGAACAGGTAGCTATGGTTCCACTAAATGTCCCGACAGACTAAGATGATGGTTATCTAGAGGTAGAGAATACATAGGATAATTTTAGCTTCTTTGAGTTTGACCGACTCCTCTCGCTTCGAAATAAGTTTCCGCATGCATTAGTAAAATTTCTAAATACTTTGGACCATCGAGAAGTCTGAGAGAGGTGTGGCGAAGGAAGGTTGCAGTGTCTTCCTCACTTTGGTATCCTTGAAATATGCATCCATATGTGTCGATAAAGTTCTATATATGCTCATTAGATCCTTCTTTTCAAGGGCTTTCGATTCATATATGATAACAATATATAAATCCTGTTTTAGAAGCTATTCTCCAAAGAAACTTTGAAAACATCGATTTTTTTAGATAATTTTATTTTATCAAAAAATCATATAAATTAGGCATCTTTTTTATAAAATTCGTTTTTTTTTCAAAAGGAAAAACTGGTAGTTGTGAAAGCACTTAATTTATATGTAATCGATAAAGCTCTATAGAATGCACGACGAAATAGATACGGAAATATCACGTGTTATGAATTATGTCAAAATTTTAGCTGTTCTTAATTTTGTATTTTACATTTTGTTTTTTCTTGCATAACTGTCCATTTATTTTCACCTTGATGATGTCAAATTAGATGGAATAGCCGATAAGATTGAATCATTGTAGGTTGTCAAAACTTCTTCTTTGACAGTTTCACTCGATAGAAAATTTTCAATGGTATCATTCAAACCGATATTTTGTTGAAGATAGGAATAATTTCGAACCGATCGTTTCACTAAGGGCTTTGATACATTTGACGACATGATTTGTTCATTGAACCAAGTGAATTGATCGACAGTCATTTTCTGTTTGACAATAGCTAATTCTTCCATTGAATGACCACGTGGGGCCGAATTATCATAAGTTTTACAACAACAAGCCCACAGCCAAACACACTTACCACAATTGAAACATCTTTTTGTAGTCCATGATGAATACAATTGTTTGAGCTGCGCATTTGTATTGATGACGAAATAGATTACAGCAAATGATGAGTTTGAATCAGTTATCGAGTGAATCTTGGTAGCAGTAACTAACAAAGTTGTTAATGAAGTACCTGTGGCTAGATCGAACATAAATGCTTGACCCAAAAACGATCCTTCTGCAGTGACCATGAGTAATAAACGAACACTTTCGATTGCTTGTTTACGAAATTGTTCTGGTATTGACCAATTAGCCATGGAGGTATGAATCGTTGATAGTTCGCCTTTCTCTTGTCCATATGAACCGAATGTTGTTGTTGAATTCATGAGAGGATCCCATTGATTTAGGAAAATTTAGTAATTGTTTAATTTTATTTCGATGAATTAAAACGTAATCGAATAAGATCTTACCTGGTGTTGAAACATTCAACACTTGTGCCAATTTTTTGATAGAAGAAAAAGGATCCAGAGACCGACCCCGAAGTTGAATCTGTGGTGATTGAAAATATCCAGCACATGTCATCAGCATATTCAATGCCAAAACAACAGTAAAATGTGTCATCATCTTTAATAATCAGATGATTCTAACTGCTTTATCTACACTAAAAGAATCAGACTTATCTAACTTTAACAAAAGTCCGTTGAAAGTTACACGCACACGCAAGATTTCTCTTATTTTTCAATAAAGAATGATATCAAGATTCTGTGGAATCTGCAACATCATATTATGAAAACGTGTCTTTTGTAGTTCTCTCTTACTTACCTGGTTAGTATTCTAATAACCGCCAGATGGGAAGTCTTTTATAAGCTATTCTCTTCCGTCTTTTTTCTGCATAAATGGTCCTTAGTAAATAATTTGTTATAATCTGCATTTTTTTCGAATAAACGATAGCAAGATGAATTAAATTATTTACAGATCATGAATCATTTAAGGAATAAAACCAATATGAAGCATAATTTTTTTCATGCCTGATTAAGTTGCTTGATTTTTTTATCATATAACAAAAAGCAAATCGAGTATTTTTTTCAAGTAAGGAACTGCAGTTACTTGTTGTATATAAATAATCTCTCTTTAATTAGTTCATTGATACTGGAATAATTCTTCAGTAGTGAGTGTGTGGTACGAATAACATTTTCCAAGTTTGTTCTCGGATATATGACCTACGATTCAAAAGCAGATCGTTAGTTTGTGAACCAGTATTTCAATGCACTTTTTTATTGTTAAATAGATTATTCATGGAAGTGAAAGTGAACACTGAGCAGTGAGTTTTGATTTGTTTATAATGGAAACTGTTGAAAAATGACAATTTCATGATTGACCGACGAATTACCCGCAGATCAATCACATATCTATTAGGATCCATCGAATTGTACAGATTCACTCTTAATGTCTCTGAAAAAGTACAAAATAAATTAACATCAAACATAATATCTCTTCTGGATAGATCAACTGATATCATTAAATTTGCATTACACACATTGAAGATGAAATATAAATCTAATTACATGCATTTTAGCTTGAGATTCTGTACTGCAAGATAAATCCACTTCTTACTTGGTCATTCTTTGTTCTCGGTTTTCTCTAAAAAATGCTTTCGTATTAACGAAAACCAATTTGCATATGTACTATATAGAAACTTGTGTCAATACTACGAAAAAGAGCAATTATATTTTAGGTCGATGTGCCTTAAAATAGAAGGCTCATGATATTTGAACTTAGATTTTTATTGCAAAACATTATATACGATACCAAACGTTCGAGCTAAGCGATGACTAGAACAATGGTCATATTTTAAGTCAGTTTCTTGTACACAACAATGAGATGGACTACAAAAATATTTGGTGAGTCCATAATTGGTTATTATGTTTATCAAGTAGTGTCCTATTCGTGTTGACTTGAATTTAAGAGTATTATTCTGTTGATCGCAGTGCCAAAATATATTTAATAAATAGCAATGCTTGAAATCGTCGTCACACTGAAAGCGGGATGCTCCTCTGCTTCTGTCAGCTCTGACGAATGCAAAGTTTATTTTGTCTAGCAATGTCGAAAAGTAAACAAAAAATCTTTTTTTAAGCATGATAATAAAACAAAAATAACGAAAGGCAATCGTCAAAAGCTGCAAAAGTCAATTTTCAGATAAGCAGCCATTAGAATAACTCTAACGAACGTCTTTTCCTCTTCAGTCCTTTTTTCTTCAGAATCATCGAGTTACAGCACGGTTCGATTATCCAGGAGCGTCACATATGCAAATATTTCAATGAATATGATGGAAAATAAATTTTCATTTGAAAGGCAACTTATCGAACATATTTCCATACATGCTTACTTTTTCTCATTCTCAATCGATTATTTATGTATGAGGCAATCATTTTTTGTCCTATTCAACTACTCATTCATCATCATATTTTCGCGACGAAGTTTTTCCTACTTAGAATACAGAACGAAGATTGTACTTTTACCTCCCATGTGGTTATTTTCCTATGTAATACTTTTTTAAAGGTATTCTATCGTTTTACAACACAATTCATTTCCTATAGAATAGATGAATGACTGGATAGATTGTTATCTTTGATTATTTGTTACTAATGACCAAATAATGAGCAGCATTCTTTCGATGACTCTGTGTTGATGTTTCGAAGAAATGATATCAATCGGTAGCTTCTAAGTAACTAACATGTCCAGAAATTCCTCGGAACAACTGTCTAAGTTGTGGATGTGGGGTGTGGGTGGAGATGTGAATGGGAATCTGGATCTTCTTGTTCTTCTACACTCACATACAGCAACAAATTTCAACAGAAACAATGCGAACAGACAGCAACAGTTTTTTTTCCATATTGATGCGAACGGCTCGAATACGTTTCACATAGATGTTGTCAACTTGAGTCGATTATTAAATAGGGCCATCTGATCATAAAAGCTCATCGATTACATCACCGAAATTCCAATATGATAATTCGAATGTTACACAATTCACTTTGAGTACTCACTAAAAACTTTTTAATGCAGTTCATAAATTAATATGACAACTCTTTCGCAAGTAAACTTTTCTAAAGTGTTATTTTCGAAAATTTGAAAACTTTTCTATCCATAGGGAAAAGTCAAATGTATCAGGGAGAGTTCTCAAGCGTAATGAACGAAACTCGTTCTTGTCACAGGTAAAGAAGCTCATTTTTCTTAACTCTTAGAGAAAATGGAAATAACTTCTTGAAATTTAGTTGGTAGGAGACAAAAAGTTTGCCAGGCATTTAACAAAGTAGGGTGTGGGTGTTCATATTGTGTTCACTCACACCCAGACCTACACCCTCGCACATCACAAAGTCAAAGTTGTTGTTGAGAAGACAACGTAGGAAAAATAGGAAGGAGATTTTTTTCTCAATGTAAGTAAATGAGTACATCTCTCAAACGCTAATGAAAATAGACATATTGATGATGATATATGATGTAGAACATAGAAAATTGAAGTAGAATTTTTCTCTCTTTTTTACATTTGGTAAATAGAGCTTGAATGTGTTTCACTCTTTTTTGCAACCAGTTTTTAGGGGAAATTTTCAATTGCCTCCGAAGGTCTGCTTTTTTTGTAAAGAGCATCAATTTTCAATATCTAGAAATGCTTTTATTTTCTTTCATTGGTTTTAAATTTCAATACTGTTTGTTTCAGATTGAAAGACTTGAAGAAAGCGTTTTCACCACTGATGATCGATACATTTTGCTTGTATATACGTGGCACGCGGCTTGTTAAGGAACAAAATACTTCTTGCATCGGCACGTTTGCGTACTGAGCAACGTCGTTAACAGTAATCGTCTCCTTGCCTTGCTGTCCAATAAAAGTCACGCGAGTTCCAACTGGATACTTTTGATCGAGACGAATCATAAGTTGATCCATGGAAATACGTCCAATGATTGGAAATCGCTTTCCCTCGACGAGAACTCCAGTCGCTTTGAAATTTTGATGCCAACCATCAGCATATCCAATAGGCACAGTACCGATCCACTCAGTATCTGTTGTTGTATATGTGCCTCCATAACCGATATTCTCACTAGCATTCAGTTGTTTGACAAGGCCTATTGTCGAGTGAAGGGACATGGCGGTTTGCATATGGAAGGGAAGTAAGTGTTTTAATGCTGCATCTGGTGGACCCATCAATGCTTTTCCTGATCGAACCATATTAAAGAATGGCTTCTCCACTTGATACAGAATAGCATCCGAGTTTGCACAGTGAATAATTTTTTCGGTTCGATTAGGAATAACTTCGAGAAACTCGTTGAAGCGTGCGAGTTGCCATAGAAAATAGGTTCTGTTGTTCAGGTCATCAGAGGTAGCAAAATGAGTAAAGACTCCAGATACATTTAGATTTGGATTGAGAGATACAATCTTAAGTACCGCTTGGACTTCGTCTATTGTCTTACAGCCAACCCTATTTAGTCCTGTATCAATTTTCAGATGAATATTGATTGGTTCCTTGACAATACGATTCGCTTCCTGGACCCATTGCAATGATATGCCCGTCACAGTGATTCCAAATTGACTGGCCAATTGTAAGTGTTGCGGAGGAACGTAGCCAAGAACAAGGATATGGATATCTTTCGAGAGTTGACGACGCAGAATAAGTGCTTCGTCCAATGAAGCGACGCCTAACCAGGTTGCACCAGATGAAAGAGCAGTGCGTGCTATCTCTAACATTCCATGCCCATATGCATTTGCTTTGACGACAGCCATCAGATGCACCTTTTCTCCGATGAATGCTTTGAGTTGGCGAACATTTGAACTCACTGCGTCAAGATCAATATACATCCATGTGGGTCGGAGAAGAGACATCAATTCGCTAAACAAATAAGAGTGTATTGACGCGTCTTTCTTATTATCGATCCATTACTTCCCTATAAAAACTATATTGGAAAGAAATTCTTTCTCATTTGGCAGATAAAAGGAACTCTTTGAGGGTGTTACCACGCAGAAACCACAATTATTTCAGAGTTCCTTCAATGATCTATCCATTCTTGTTTCACTCCCCAACTTTCTACTGTCCAGTAAGAAAGAAATCACTGCGGTATGCAGAGTGTCCATTGATAGTTCTTAATAGAGCTTCTCATATTGCATCTTTGTTTGTATAGTGGAAATTCATTCGTATTAGTTTGAACTTCACTGCTTGTTTTCTCAATCAGAAGACAGTCTTTCTAGAGCAGAATATGGAGGGTCAAGGTCTGTGGCATAAATATATTGTTTTCATTGAATATTCACAAACGTCAACTCTTTTTTCTAAGGAGATCAGATTCTTATGAAAGTCAGTACTTACGATTTGTTTTGCATTGTCACAGTTGTTATTGT